GAAAAACATTCGCATTTTTTAAATTCAAGTTTGAATGCTGCTATTTAGCAAGAATTAACAATGCGTAACATGGTCATGCAAAGGAGACGCCCCATAACCGTTTTTGCGCGACATTGCGACTTAATAACTGAATGATCTGGCGGATGCGGTTAAAAAGTTAACTGGAAGAGCTTCTTAACTGTCCAGCAGAACCATTATACTGATAGAATTATGTTGTTTGAGACAATTATATAAGTAAAAGAAAGACGCTTTCATATAGAAATAGACATAGACAAGGGCAAATTTAGTATTTCTTCTCGACGGATGTTATATGGGACTGCATAGGCCTGCAGCAACTAAACGTTAATTTGAGCAGAAAAATTCAAACTAAAATCACTTTTGTTTCGGTTAAAAACTAAAATTACAAGTTAAAATGACAAGTTACGTTTTCAACGGTCGTTCCTAATTTGTGTTATTAGGACATGAAAAACATTGGCTGCTGATTTTTTCAAACTATTTCAAAGAAATGAGGCAAATAGAATGCCCGAAAACAATTAAAATTTTAAGAAACATTACAAAACAAATTTCCTTTTTTTTCAACATTTTCCATCTTAAATCTCTTCCCCCGTCTTTTTCAAATTAAAGTAAATTTTATAAATGGCTTTACATATAATCGCATGAAACGACTTTTCCAGATGATTTCAACTGAAAATTTGGCAGTTGGTTCATCTCACTCCTAGCGGTCCGCGCGCCATATGTTGAGATCAGTGAGATGCCCATGCAACCACTACTCCACTTTGGAACCGATATAGGAGCTTTCCTTTTCCCGCGAGTAAATAGCCGTGCGGAGTTGGTACCCCCGCTCTCGACTTACGCCCGGAATTGTGCGTTGGCTCGGGATAATAATAATTATGCCAACAAAAAGGATTGAACAAAGGATAGAATTCCTCGCATATCCATAACCATGAAAGTATATATACGTGTCGCTAAACTACAAAGAAACAAAGAATAAATAAAAATTTAGATTTGAATTAAAAAAAAATGCTCATTAAATATTGATACAACGCGTATTAGTAAATGCTATTAGCATGTCTGTAATTATATTGGAGGCTGACTATTTAGAACGTGACTAAATGGTAGAGGTGGGAAAGTAGGCAGAAATGTTCAGCTTGCGCTATTTTTTCGGGTTTTTTTTTGTGCAGAAACCATTTGATGAATTTTAAAGGCTTTTCTTTTGCTTTCTTTCTCTTTTTTCCCTGAAACATATCTTTGTGTTTTATTCACATCGCCTACCACCTTCTTAATGACGTGTGGCGTATTTCTTCTTTAAACTTTTCGACAGATGTTTTGGCTGGAAGATGGGCTTTCAAGAGGCTTAAAAAATTGTTTCCTTGGAGACTTCAGGCATAAAGGAAACCTACGCTAAATTTAAAGTTTATTTCAGAGAACAAGAAAGCCTGCAATCTGTGAGACTTACAAAATGAACAACACAACATCAAATTCAACACTTAATTGTTTAAACTTGGAATGGACACCAACACCCTTCTTCATGTTCAACGCCATACTGTTGTGTGCTGTAAACTTTGGCTCTACACTCGTTGGAATATTATTAAACTCTGTTGTCATAGTGAGTCTTCTGAGTTCACAACTGCGAAAGAAATTATGTTACTTTATGATTCTTATTCTGTCTTGTTTTGATCTCGTCGTGGTTGTCGTTTTTCATCCATTGGTGATTGTGGAAACTATATTATGCTGGTTGTTCATGAGCTGTGGTAAATCCATAGAGGTGCCTTATGAATATGTTAAGCAATTGTTTGTGTTTTCTCTGACTGCACTTTTACTGATGACTTTGGAAAGGTATCTTGCTTCGATATATCCTTTCTTTCACGAGAAATTCGTTACAAAGTCAAGATTGAAGGCTGCTTACCTGCTAAGTCAGGTGCCGTTTTGTATAATCTATGTGTTATTCTCTATAATATGGCCAGATAATCTACAGATCATTGAATTAGGAATTATACTTGCCTTAAATGCCGTTATTTTTCTTGTGATATGCGCTATGAACTTCAAATTGTTTTATTTTGTGAGAACACTGCGAAAGCGGGCAGATATACCTCTCGGAAACTTAGACGGGTCTGAGGAAACAAATATTAATGCTAAGAAATCTAAAGTGACTTTAGCCAGTTTAAAGAAGATATCGACATGTTTGCTAGCAGTATTGTGTTTGTTCGTATGTTATTGTCCGACTATTATTATCCTTGGATTAGGATTAACCGGAGAAACAGACGTCTGGTGTGAACAAACTAAGCGCATTGTCGAGCTTTGGACATTAACCTTCATGACTTTAAATTCAAGTTTGAATTGTTTGATATTTTTCTACCGGAACAGTGTCCTAAGGCGCCATGGAAAGAAGATGCTGGAGAAATGTGTATGTATAAGATCTCGATTACATGAATGATCTGCAGGATTTTCAAATGGAACCAAACCGGGTCTTATTATAACATTACATATAATAATGAATACATATGGAAATATGTTGTTTAGTTAAGCTTTAAAGAGCAGGCAGAATTTCCGGGCAGTTTGCGGAATAACGCGTTACTCTCCAGTGAGTTCCATATATATATATATATATATAGCGGAGCTATTGGACGTCAATGACCGCTACCTTGGTCGAATGACTCCAGATTTATATGGAGATAACTGTTCCTGGAACGTTACTGTCCGCAGTCAGCCCGTAAAATACCGGGCCTTCGCTTGCTGTTCAACACTGAACTATATATTTCTAAATGTAAACATTTAACAGTTATTCGCCGAAGGCGAGGTGATTATCGGAGAATATTCGCCGAGACGAATTCGAGCTAGGTGAATATTAATCACTTATTTACTGAGACCGAAGGAAACAGACCATCGACGGTCGAGGGTCCACAAAACACACTGCTTTCCCGAGGTCTCGGTAAATAAGTGTTTTATTATATATCAATAGTCAAAGGAACAACAAATTAAAGAACAAATGAACGTAAATACATGAAATATTTTATTGTTCAAACGTTATATTAAACACTGGCTACACTGCAGTTACTTAAAGCGAAAGTTTTAATTACGTACTAGGCATACCCTAACATTCTAATGTCCAAAGGTCGCATGTTTACGTGATGGCGCACGTGATTTTTTTTTGTTATTCGCCGGACGATAACGTATTATCTCCCTCTCGCGCTGTTGCGAGGGAGACAGCCTAATTTCGTCACTCTCACGTGATATGCTCTCAACCAATAAAACACTGGAAAAATGCATTTTTGACTATTGATATATAATAATCCCCGATAATCAACGAGCCTGAGACGCTTGAATAATTCTTTCAGTAATTTGGATTTTTTGGGACTGGATTTATTTTAATTTCGCTTATTTCTTTATCAGTATAATGGCAACACAACGGCTATTTCAAAATTTCACCTATAGATGAATATAACAGCTTAATACGTCCAACTTGACCAATCACTTTGTAGGATTTGTTATGTTCACTTGTGCGAAAATACTAAATACATGTATTGTTATAATAGGAACCGAGGTTGGCTCCCGCGGGAAATATACTTCAAGTGTAATTTAATATCGAAAATAACAGGAGCGTTTTATATGCCAAGGCATATATTATAGAGCAACTATATTTCAAGACCAAATATATTTCCTTTTCATGAGCGTTTGAATTGGTTGGATAATGCGAGTTCTAGAAATTTGGGTTAACTGTGTTGCTATTTATAGTATTCGGAATTTTTCGAAGAGACTCGAAGCTTCAAAAAGAAATAACACGAGTTTCAGAACGCATGCAAGAACACGTTCCGAACGCGTTCTCGAAGATGTTCCGAACGCGTTCAGGAAGGTGTTCCAAACGATCTCGAAGGTGTTCCGAACGCGTTCACGAAGGTGCTCCGAACGCGTTTCGGGACGCTTTCCGAACGCGTTTGCATTCATATTGAGCGCTCTACAGGACGAGCCATTACCGCTTACGCATTGTGCACGCTCACTGCTTGCAGTTTGAGCGCTCTGGCATGGTTTTTGATGTCCCACATTCGTGAGGCATCAAAGGTAACTGTAAATGGCAGTTACTTTCATACTGCTCATCAGCACTGCACTGATGAGGCCCATAAGGCCGAAACGATACCGTCTGTAGTTAGATATCGCTCTATGGCCCTTACGTCATATTGAGGAACGCTCTACAGGAAACACCGCGAAAAAACGGCTGCGCATGCACCAAATTATGAAAATATGGCGGGGAATTTGAATATCAATTTCTAAAACAAAAACATGCTTATTAATTGTTCGAAAATTAGTAAAACGAACGAGAAAATATAGGATATGGGTAGACTAGACATTAATTGAAAGCGTCCTGGCTTTTAAAGTATGGAATGAAATATAATTCATGGAAAAATTGTTGATTTTAACGGACACGACTTCGAAAATTTTTGCAAAATTATTCAAAACAAAAATTCAAACTAAAAAGTTAAGAAAACTCACTGGTAACTGTAAATACCAGTTACTTTCATCCTGCTCATCAGCACTACACTGATGAGGCCCATAAGGCCGACACGGTACCGTCTGTAGTTAGAAACCGCTCTATGGCCTTTAGTTAGATATCGCTCTATGGCATAAGCTATATATATATATATATATATATATATATATATATATATATATATATATATATATATATATATATATATATAGCTTAAGATTTTGGTTTACGAAACACAAACAGTGCTCAGTGTTACTCGCGTAACATAGTTTTTCGTTTTACCTCAAAAAACCACAACAGTCTGTTTCATCCGTGTAGGAATCATCAGATTGGTTTTTTAAGGTAAAACGAATATATATATATATATATATATATATATATATATATATATATATATATATATATATATATGTGTGTGTGTATATATATATGTTAGTGTTGTGTACTCAGGTGAATATGATATTTGTGATATTACCCTGAGTGTATATCGACACCGGGCGAGCTTGAAAAATATGCCCGGCCACGGTGGGATTCGAAACTACGACCTTTGGAATACAAGCCCAATGCTCTTCCAACTGAGCTACGCGGTCAGGATGGTTCGAGTAAGTACTCCAAAGGTCGTAGGTTCGAATCCCACCGTGGCCGGGCATATTTTTCAAGCTCGCCCGGTGTGGATATACACTCTGAGTAACAGCACAAATATCATATTCACCTGATTACACAACACTGACACAGAAAAAAATCATATTACTAGATTACATTGGTATCGAAGGAACTAGATTGTGTTCCGAAATATCACTTACTCAACCGTCCTGGCCGCGTAGCTCAAATTGAAGATCATTGGGCTAGTATTCCAAAGGTCGTAAGTTCGAATATATATATATATATATATATATATATATATATATATATATATATATATATATATATATATTTATGAATCCAAATTGGATCCACTTGATTGTCGAACTGAACTTGTGTTCTGAGCTCACGAGTGGAAGGAAACATTCAAGGTAATCCTATTTGATCAGTTTTTGATTGTATCCTAGTACTAACCTCTTTAAATTTATTATATATATATATATATATATATATATATATATATATATATATATATATATATATATATATATATATATATATATATATATATATATATACCCACGTTGGCTCGGGGTGACGATCGGCAAGAAAAAGGATGGATTAAACAAAGGATAGAATACCTCGCATATTCATAACCAAGAAAGTATATATATTGAACTTGTCGCTAAACTACAAAGAAACATAGAATAATTTTAATTAAAAATGTCCATTTAAATTTAAAAAAATGCTCAGTAAATATTGCTGTCTGTAAATATACCGGAACACTAACAACGTGACAAAGCGGGGAAGGAATTTTCAGCCTCCGCTATTTTTTCGGTTGTAGCTTGTGCAGGAACTGTTTGATGAAAGGAAGACTTCATCTTTTGCTTTCCGCTCGTTTGCTTGAACATTTATATGTGTTTTATCCACATCGCCTGCCACTTTTTGGTGACGTGTGGCGTATTTCTTGTTTACACTTTTCGGCAGATGTTTTGGCCGCAAGGTGGGCTTTCAAGAGGCTTAAAATATTGTTTCCTTGGAGACTTCAGGCATAAAGGAACCCTACACCAAATTTAAAGTTTATTTCAGAGAACAAGAAAGCCTGTAATCTGTGAGACTTACAAAATGAACAACACAACATCAAATTCAACACTTTGTTTAAACTTGGAATGGACATCAACACCCTTCTTCATGTTCAACGCCATACTGTTGTGTGTTTTGAACTTTGGCTCTACATTCGTTGGAATATTATTAAACTCTGTTGTCATAGTGAGTTTTCTGAATTCACAACTGCGAAATAAGTTATGTTACTTCATGATACTTATTCTGTCTTGTTTTGACCTCGTCGTGGTTGTCGTTTTTCATCCATTGATGATAGTGGAAACTATATTATGCTGGTTATTCATGAGCTGTAGTAAATCCATAGAGGTGCCATATCAATATGTTACACAGTTGTTTGTGTTTTCTCTGACAGCGCTTTTGATAATGACTTTGGAAAGGTATCTTGCTTTGATTTATCCTTTCTTTCACGGGAAATTCGTTACAAAGTTAAGATTGATGCTTGTTTATCTGCTAAGTCAGTTGCCTTTTTGTATAATCTATGTATTATTCTCTGTAATATGGCCAGATAACGCACTTATCATTGAACTAGCAATTATACTCGCTTTAAATTTACTTATTTTTATTGTGATATGCGCTCTGAACTTCAAATTGTTTCATTTTGTGAGAACACTACGAAAGCGCGCAGATATACCTCTTGGAAACTTGGACGGGTCTGAGGAAACAAATATTAAAGGAAAAAAATCTAAAGCGATTTTAGCCAGTTTAAAAAAGATATCTACATGTTTGCTAGCAGTATTGGGTTTGTTCGTATGTCATTGTCCAATTATCATTGCCACTGGATTAACACTGAACGGTCAAACAGAAGATTGGAGTGAGCAAACTGTGCGTATTGTCCAGCTTTGGACAAAAACCTTCATCACGTTAAATTCAAGTTTGAACTGTTTGATATTTTTCTACCGGAACAGTATCCTAAGGCGCCATGGAAAGAAGATGCTGGAGAAATGTTCATGTGCAAGATCTCGTTTACATGAATGATCTGTAGGATTTTCAAAGGGAGTCAACCCCCGTCTTATTATAACATTACATGTAATAATGACTGCCTATGAAAATATGTAGTTAAGTCTTAAAGAGCAGGCAAAATAACCCGTTCCTCTCCAGTGAGTTCCATATATATATATATATATATATATATATATATATATATATATATATATATATATATATATATATATATATATATATATATATATATATATATATATATATATATATATATATATATAAGGATATATGGGCTTGCAGTTTGAGCGCTCTGGCATGGTTTTGATGTCCCACAATCGTGAGGCATCAAAGGTAACTGTAAATAGCAGTTACTTTCATCCTGCTCATCAGCACTACACTGATGAGGCCCATAAGGCCGAAACGGTACCGTCTGTAGTTATATATATATATATATATATTGCGTAAAGGCCTCACATCATGCCATGAGTACACTCAATCCATCTACGACGAAATCACAAAAACCGGCAGTCCGGCAAAAAGAATGATGGTCATTTCAATATATATATATATATATATATATATATATATATATATATATATATATATATATATATATATATATATATATATATATATATATACACTGCAAAAATCCACTTTTAAATTTGAGTAAAATTACTCATTTTGCGAGCAAAGTCACTCACAATTTGAGTAATTGGCATGTTTTACTAAGCGGTTGAGTAACTCTACTTTGAAACGTGAGTAAAATTGTCTTTATCGGCAGTAGGTGAGTGATTTGACTCGGCCGGAATCAGTAAATTTACTGAATTTGTGAGTAAAATTACTCATACAGCGAGTAAAATTGCAAATTCATTTTACTCTGACGCTTCCTGAGTAAACGTACTCAAAATTTTGAGTAAAACATCGTCTTTACTCAAAGACTGAGTAAACCAAATTATCATTACTCAGATATCGAGTAACATTACTCATGGATTGAGTAAGAATATACCAATTTACTCATCGTTTGAGTAAAGTGAATTTGCTTTACTCAAGCTTGAGTAAAAACATAGTAAATATTCGTTGTTAGTAATTCTATTCAGAAACGTGAGTAAAATTGTCTTGATGAGCTGATGAGCAATAGGCTAGTCATTTGACTCGACCGGAAGGAGTAAATGTACACCATTTGTGAGTAAAATTACTGATCCATTGAGTAAAATTGTTAATTCATTTTACTCTGGACGCTTCTTCAGTAAACCTACTCAAAAGTTTGAGTAAAACATCGTCTTTACTCAAAGACTGAGTAAACCAAATTATCATTACTCAGATGTCGAGTGACGTAAACTAACAATACTCATGGATTGAGTAAGAATATACCAATTTACTCATCGTTTCAGTGAAGTAAATTAGCCTTACTCAAGCTTGAGTAAAAATATAGTAAATACTCATTGGATTGAGTAGAGTCAGTTAGCTTTTTCTCAAGTCTGAGAAAAGAGGTAAGAATTTACTCATCATTTAGCAGAGTATATAAGCCTACTGTAGACTAACTTTACACTGAAACTTGAGTAAAATATAACAATTGACTCGTCGTTTATACACAAAGTGAATTAGCTTACAATAACAATAATAACAATAACAACAATAATTATTTGCCATATATATATATATATATACATACAAACAATTAGAAACAAGAAAAAAATAGGTATACAAGAAGGAAGGAACTATAATTAATTGTATCGGATGGCGAGGAGACCTCCAGAAACCAGCAGGCTTGTACAAGGGAGGCCACCTCTTGATGCAAGAAGATTATATAATAAGTAATATTATTATTGGATTATTGGATATAGGACTAAAATATAGATGTGCTTAACTTAGTAGCTGAGATAATTAATATAATAGATGCTCTAGCATTCTGTTTCTGAAACAACGAGGAGTAACTTGGTTAATAATATTTTTTGGTAATGAATTCCACAGTTTTGGTCCTTGAAATAGAATAGTGAACTGTTTAATATTTGTTCTGCAAGCGCGAGTTCGATAATCAGCCGCATGTCTAATTGTGTTATACATATGCATTTGACTACCTGTAGTAAATATCATGTGAAATAAAGATGGTAATAAATGGTTATGATATAGAAACATAAATATAGCGGTATAAATTGTATTTATTTGGTAAATATCCAGTAATTTTAACTGCGAAAAGAGCGGTTTTGCATGTGCACGATAACATGCGTTTGTAATTGCCCGCACAGCACGTTTTTGCATCAGAAGTAGCTTATTCAAGTTAGTGGGATAGGTAGAACCCCAGGCAATATTACAATAAGTAAGATAGGGATAGATTATAGTATAATACTACAACATTAACTTTTTATTGGTCGACAAACAAAAGCGAGATCGGTAAATTATTCCCACTAATTTAGAGATCTTTTTACAAATATAAGTAATATGTTCTGTCCATGATAAATTTTCATCAATAAATACTCCTAAGAATTTAACGACATGTACTTTTTTAAGTGCTTGAGCATTAAAGGAAAGTGACAGATCAGTATTGATTCTTTTCTGTATTGATTTGAAAACCACGTAATTGGTTTTCTTTATATTAACAGAGAGTTTGTTCGCCTTCATCCAACAGTCAAATTTCGACAATTCATTGTTTAAAGTATCCTTCAATTGTTGAATATTGGAATGAGAATAAAAAAGACTGGTATCATCTGCAATCTGACTGGTATCATCAGACTGGTATCATCAGCTTTACTCGAGCCCGAGTAAAAGCGTAATAATTTTACTCATGATTTGAGTAAAGTTACTGTAATTATATAGCTTTGCACAAACTTGAGTGAAATAAAACAGTTTACTCGTCGCTTGAGTGAAGGCAACAATGTAGCTTTACTCAAACCTGAGTAAAAATATAAAAAATACTAAAGTCATGCCATAAATATAAATGCAA